CTTCTCTTTCTCGCCACCGCCATTCTCATCTCTTTCGCTTTCTCTTTCGTTTTCGTTTTCGCTGTGGTGCAGGCCTCAGTCACAGGTCAGTCTGGCCCGTACATGTGAATAGAGGAAAAACAAAAACAACAACAACGAGGCACGACACGACACACGACACGAAGGACGACGCGGGGTGGTGGATGATGTAGATAGCGTTTAGAATGTGCATAATAGGAGATTAAATAGTGTTTGCCCAACGGGCTAGGGCCACGGCCGTGGCGTTGAGTGTTGGCCGTTTTCGCGTGAGCCCTCTCTCTTTCTCTTCTCAGTGACTCACTTGGCGAGCATGACCTGGAGGAAGTGATCGAACTTGATCTTGCCGTTCTTGTCAGCGTCGGCCTCCTGCAGCAACGCCACGATCTCCTCTTCCGTCAGCTTCTCCTGTGTGTAAGGGAGAGTTGGTGAGGAAAAGGAATAATAAGAGTGCATTTTATTTTTATTTAAATCAAGTATAAACTTAAAAAGTGTGAAAAGGTTGGGAGAGGCGTACTCCGACAGTGGTGAGCACGTGACGAAGATCAGATGCTGAAATGACGCCATCTTTGTCCTTGTCCAGTGCTGTGGCAAGGATTTTAAAAGAAGAAAATAGTGGGGGGGGGGGTTAACCATGCACGAGACACCCACACAGTGGTGCACAGACATTTTAAATAGACTGCAATCAATATACCCTTCCACGCTTCTTTGATTTCGTGCTCCAGCTCTCTGTTCGCCATCTTCTTGCTTTCTGGAATGTTGGGCGGCCACCAACGGACTTTCCACCGGGGCAACATGGTTGGTGTGCGCGCGACACGCAAACAACGTCGATGGTGATCGTGAAGTGGTGCGTCAGACCGACATCCCTCTGTATGTACGCAGAACACACAACAACAACAACATGACGAAGACGATGGCTGCTCGTAGAACAACACGGCCATCATTCACTCTTCATTGCTGGGCGCACGACACGCCGGATCCGCCACCGCCGCCGTACGGGTGGTCCTCGTCGTCGCTGCCCGTCTCGTAGGCCTCTCGCCGCTGCTGGCCGTTGGCGCCGCCGCGCGCGTTGCGGGCCTCCGGTCGGTAGTCGCGCATCGTGACCTCCTCCACCTCGACCGCCCCGCTCGCCGCAAAGTCCATCGGCTCCGGTCCGCCCGGCAGCACTTGCTCCAGCATCTGCCCCCGCACTCGCCGTGAGCTCGCCGCACAACACACACGACACACGACACACACACACGATTGAGAGACGTACGGGCTTGGATTGAGGGTTGACGTAGTCGGGGAACTTGACGTTGAACTTGATGACGAGGGGACCCTTGTCGAAGGGCTGCTTCCAGGTGGGCATGCCCTCGTCGGGGATCTCCTTGAGGTCGCCCGGCTTGACCACCTGCCCGTTGCCGAACTTGACCAGCAGCGTGCGGCCGTCGAGGTGCTTGAGGGTGAAGGAAAAACCGCAGAGCGCTTCAAAGAGCGATATCTCCTTCTCCATAAACAGGTTCTTGCCGTCTCGCTTGAACACCTGATTGTCGCCCAACACGACACGACACGACACACGTGTAAGATTGCGTGCGTGCGGGCGTACGAAAGAGGTGGTGGTGGTGGTCTACCGGGTGGTCTTCCTGGTTGAGGAGGATGATGACGTCACCGGGGGTGACGCCGGGCTCCTGATCTCCCTCGCCCGTAAACACGATCTTTTGCTTGTGCTTCATTCCTGTCCCACGAGACGAGATCAGCCCTCTGATCAGACCACACACACACAACACACACACACAACGCCACACACGCGGTGTAACAAGGGGGGAAAGGGCGGGTACCCTTGTCCACAAAGATCTCCAAGATCTTGCGTTCCTGTACCACCTTGAACCCCGAACACTTTTTACATCTGTCCCTCTCCCTGATCACCTGCCCCTCGCCACCGCAATCGGGGCACCTGCAAGCACACGACACACGACACACACGACACGACACGCACAGCACACATGATTGGGTGAGACCACCAATTGGGGTTATTGCGGGGGTGGGAGCAGGGCGGGGCCGTACCGGCTCTGAATTTGCTGCACCATGCCAGGCCCGAGCTGACGCAAGGTCAGCTTGATGCCCCGGCCGTCACAGCTCTCGCATGTCCGCAGCGCATTAGGCACAGGCGTCCCCTTTCTGTAATCAATTTTTTATCAGTAATTATTATTATTACAAATTAATACAAATTATTATTGTTATTCATAATTTAATTGTACAAAAAAAAGTAAAATGGAATAATAAACAAGAAAGTAAAAGATGGGGAAAGGTGTAGTACCCGTTGCATTCGTCGCAGATGACCTTCTTCTTGAGGGCCACCTTGGTGGTCTTGCCGTTGTAGAGATCTTCGAGGGTGACCTTGAGCGGGAAGACGAGATCCTCGCCCTTACGCTGCCGCGCACGTCCGCCGCCCATGCCGAACAGGTGGGAGAACAGATCGCTGGGGCCGGCGTGGCTGGGTCCGCCCTGCTTCAGGTACTCCTCGCCGTGTCGATCGTAGGCCCTCTTCTTTTCCTCATCGCTCAGGATTTCGTAGGCCAGGCTGATCTCTTTGAACTGGTGAATTCCATTTCACATGAGTAAATTTCGTGTAGCGCCACAAATCACCGGCGAGATGGATGACAAGGATGCAACACAAGGCCAGCCCAGCTCGTAAGAGTTGAGCCGATAATCACGACGCTGGAGATGGATGGTTACCTTGTCCTCTGCATTGGGATTACGGTCCGGATGATATTTCATCGCTAGCCGCTTGTAGGACTTCTTGATCTGATCAAGCGATGCATCGGGACCCACTCCCAGCACATCGTACAGCCGCGTCTCTACTGGCATCGTGTTCTTCGTCTAATCGCTAATCGAACGAGTCTAATCTATCAGGAAATCGAGTTGAAAGCAACACAATCTTCCGCTGAAAAAAAGGAGAGTGCAAGATGATAGATGGCAAACAACTAAGGTATCTAGAGTTAGGGTGGAGAGGCGAGTTCGATCATGAGCCGAATGCGCGCCAGACACCTTCTGTTCGCAACCCTCGTCTTAATTTCCTGTAACTTGAAATTTCGCGTCAAAGCGGCAGGCATGCATACGAACTTCAAAATTTCACAAACACGTGTTACGTTGCTCGTGGTGCCGTCTCGTGCCGCCTCCTCACGTGCCGCCCACGATAGTTTCTTCTTTGCAGCTCTGGCCAGCTGAAACAACTGAAACAAAAGGCTTGGTTGGCCTGTGTGATTGGAAAAAAGTCTGGTGGAAAGCTGGCGGGCCTGGACGACGACCGATTACATGATGTCGAACATGGGCTTGAGCTTCTGGATGAGGGCCACCATGCCCTTGTTCGCCACGAGCACGTCGCGGAAGTGGTCCTTGAGCGCGTCGATGGACTCGCGCGACAGCTGACTGTAGATCTTGGAGCTCTCGTCCATCTGCCGGCCGAACGTCACCGACCCGCCCTCGATCTTCACCGCCACCTGCTGGTCGACCACCGCCTGCGGGACCTCCTTGTGATTGTCCTGTTGTGCGTGTCGTGTCGTGCGTGTTGTGTGTCGTGCGGTGAGCAATCTAACGATCACGATGATGAATAATTTGAAGAAGGGTGTGCGCACCTGAAGCGAGGTAATCTTGCCGATGTAGAGCATCTCCTTGCGGTTCCTGGTGCGGCCCTCGTCGTCGGTGGTGGTGACGATCTTCTGGACGCACAGCGGGGTGCCCAGCTTGAGGAGACCCTCGACGACGCGCACGCCGATGACGATGGGGTCCTTCTTGTTGAAGACGCAGCCGGGCACGATCTCGAGGATGCACGGGAAGACCACCTTGAGCGCGGCCTCGGCCTTCTCCTTGGCCTTGAGCTCGGCGAGGTAGGCTGTGAACTGGTCGAACAGGTGGTAGATGATGTCGGCCGTGAAGATGCGCACGCCGGCCTTGGCCGCCTCGGCCTTGGCGTCCTTGTCGACCGGCACGTCGAAGGCCAGAATACAGCCAAACTCCTTACGCTTGCCCTTGTCGAGGTTGACCGAGGCCTTGATGACGTCGGACCTGTGCACGGGGCCGATGTTGATCGAGCCCACGGGGATGTTCGACTCGCCGAGGAACGTCAGCAGCGCCTCGAGCGAACCCAGTGTCGAGGCCTGCACGCACACGCCCTTCTTCTGGACCTTCTTGAGAATGTCCGTCAGGTCGGACTGCACTCTATGTTTTGAAACAGAGCACGACACACACGACATGACACGCAGTGTGTGAGCGAGATGCAGCGGATGAAATGGATGAACGGAGAGGGGCCGTACCGCTTCATGACGAGCTCCTCGTCATCCTTCTCGTCGACGACGACGAGCGAAGAACCGGCGACGGCGCGGTCGAGGCCCTGGGCCGAGATCTTGACACCCTGGGCGGCGATGACCTCCTTGTGGTGCTGGTAGGGGGTCTTGACGCGGAGCTCGCGCATGGGGTGCGGCGTGAGTAGCGCGCGGATGTTGGTCGCGATCGGGCCGTCGAGACCGCACACCACGATGCGGTCGCCCTCGTGCAGCACGCCGTTCACCAGGATGACGTCGATCGTCGTGCCCAGACCTTCGACCACCTTCACCTCCAGCACAGTCGCCTGTTCACCGCCACCCCACGGCGTGGTCAGTGCGTGTCGTGTCGTGCCGTCACACATGAAGAGCGCAGTACCTGGAAGAGGTCCTTGGTGACGATCTTCTTGGTGAGCTTGGTCTGGGTGAGCTGGATGAGAAGGGCCAGCATATCGGGGATGCCCTCGCCGGTGTGCGCGGATGTGGGGACCAGCGAGACGTTGTGCACGAAGTCCTTGTTCTGGTAGTAGAGCACGGCGTTGAGGCCCTGCTCGGCGAACATGGTCACCGTATGCGCCACGCGGTTCTCGAACTCCTGCCTACAGCGAGCCAGACAGAGACCGAAGTCAGAATCGTGTGTCGTGTGTGTGTGTCGTGTGTGTCGTCACGTACTTGGCCGCGAGGTTCTGCTTCTTGAGGGTTTCCTGGAAGGGCGCGTTGGGGGACTCCTTCCAGCCGTAGATACGATCGATCTTGTTGAGGGCGACGATGAAGGGCGTCTTGCGCTGTCGGAGGAGCTTGATGGACTCGAGCGTCTGCGGCTCCAGGCCGTGCATGAGATCCACCACCAGTACGGCGATATCGCAGAGCGACGAACCGCGCGAGCGGAGGTTGGTGAACGACTCGTGGCCGGGCGTGTCGATGACCAGCAGGCCCGGGACCTTGATCTGGAACTTGGTCTTTTGGGCCATGGCCTTGGTCTTCTCCTTGAGCGCCTTCAGCGGGAAGAACGACGCGCCGATCTGCTGGGTGATACCACCTGCCTCGCCGCCCTGCACGTTGGTCTGCCTGATCTTGTCGAGCAGCTTCGTCTTGCCCGTATCGACGTGGCCCAGGATACAGCAGATGGGCGATCGCAGCGTCGGCTTCTTCTCGCCACCGGCCTCGGCGGCAGCGGCACCCTCGGCATCCTTGTCCTTGCCCTTGGCCTCGGCGTCAGCGGCACCGGTCGCGGGCTCCTCGGTCTTGGCGGCGGGCTCCTCCTTCTCGGCCTCGGCGGCAGCGGTGGCGGCTTCGTCGGTAGTCTCCTCGGCGGCGGCGGTGGGTTCGGCCTTCTGCTCCCACTCGTCGGCCTCCTCCTCCCAGCTCTCGGGCTCCTCGGCCTTGGCCGCGGCGGCGGCAGCGGCGGCGGCAGCCTCCTGGGCCTGCTTTTGGGCCTCGGCCTCCTGCTCCTCGGCGGTCTTGACCACCGGCCGCTGCTTCTTGGGCTTGGCGTAGAGGGCCGACTGGGGCTTCTTCTGCTTGGGCGCGCCCTCCTCGCCGCCGGCGGCGGCGGGCACAGCAATGCCCAGACGCGCCAGGCGCTCCTGTCGCTCGCGCTCGGCCCGGCGCTTGTCGGCGTCCTTGTTCTTCTCCTTCTTCTTGAGCCGGTTAGCCGCGCGCTTCTCCTCGAGCTCCTTGCGCAGGCGCTCCTCCTCTTCGGCCTCCTTGCGCAGCCGCTCCTCCTCCTCCCTGATCAGCCGCTCCTCCTCCTCCTTCCGCTTGCGCTCTTCCTCCTGCTGCTTGAGGATCATCGCTGCGATGGCGCTCCTCGGCTTCTTGGCCGCGGCGCCGGCGGCGGGCTCGGCGGCAGCCGCCTTGCCGGCAGCGGCGCCGGCCTTACCCTTCGCACCGGCCTTGCCCTTGGGCGCGGCGGCAGCAGCGGCGGCCTGAGCCTTCTTCTCCTGCTCCTTCTGCTTCTTCTTCAGACGCTTCTTGGCCGCGGCCGAGAGCACCTTGGGGCCGCCCTCGCCCTCGCCTTCGGCGTCTTCATCGTCGTCGCCACCGTCAGCCTCCTCTTCCTCAGCGGCCGCCGCCTTCTGCTGCTTCTGCTGCTGTTGTCCCTTCTTGCCGCCCTTGGGCGCCGCGGCGGCGTCGGGCACCTCGCGGCCCTCGGCGATGGCCTGGAGGATGGCCTCGACCTCCTCGTCCTCGTCGGCAGCCTGGTTGCGACGGTTCTTTTTGCCGCCCTTCTGCTGCTGCTGCTTGGGCTGCTGGGCAGGGGCGGGCTCCTTGCCCTCGGCCAGGTCCTGGAGCACCTTCTCGACCTCCTCGTCATCGTCGGCGGCCTGGTTGCGACGGTTCTTCTTGCCGCCCTTCTGCTGCTGTTGCTGCTGCTTCGCGGGGGCGGGGGCGGGGGCGGGCTCATCATCTTCATCATCGTCGTCGCCTCCACGCCGGTTGTTACGCTTGTTGGCGCCCTTCTTGTTGGGACCCTTCTGCTGCTGCTTCGCGGGGGCGGGGGCGGGCTCATCATCGCCATCTTCCTCCTCGTCTTCGGGTCCGCGCTGGCCGCGTCGGCCCTTCTGCTGCTGCTTAGCTCCGCCCTTCTTGCCTCCGGCGGCGGCGGGCTTCGGCGAGTCTTCGGGCACCTCCTCGCCATTGGCGATGGCCTGCAGGATGCGCTCGACCTCCTCGTCCTCATCGGCGGCCTGGTTGCGGCGGTTCTTCTTGCCCTTGCCGCCCTTCTGCTGGCCTCCGCCTCCGAGGGCAGTCCCGGCATCTTCGCCATTGGCGAGGTCTTGGAGCACCTTCTCGACCTCCTCGTCGTCTTCGGGGCCGCGCTGTCCTCTTCTGTTGTTCTTCTTCGGCATTTCTACTGCGAATTAGCGAGTCTCTCGATTCGGGTGGTTTACTCGGATGGTTTGAGATTGAGCGATTGCTGCGTAGGAGATGATAGCGAAAATGTGGTATGGAGATTCAGCTTGGCGATTGATGGGAATCCACCGGTGAGTGTGGATGTTGGAGTGAGTGAGATGGGATGAAGTAATCACGCGTACGCTACCGTGTGGGCTGGTAATCGAGATGCGAGAATAGATCGAGGATCAAGCGATTTATACCTGCTGCGCCTCTGCACTTCACCAAAAAGATCGCACAAAGAAAAAACGAAGAAGAAAAGAACTATTATTGATTTTATTTGATTTTTATTCGTAATTTATTATTTGACGACAACACAGCAACAACCCAACAAACAACAAACAACAAGGGACAGCACCACCAAAGCCAGCAAGTTTATAATAAATAGCAGTGAAGTAATAAATAGATCACGTGGGTGATTGATGCTGTGGTCCTGGAGCGGTGGCTTATGTTCGTGGCGTGGAGTAGAGAGAGGGAAGTGAAGAGATGGCGAGAGAGAGAGAGAGAGAGGAGAGAGAAACGAGACCAGATTGGATTGTGCGGCAAGCAGCCACTCGGCCCTTACTTGCCGCCTTTGCCCTTCTCCTTGGTGTGCTTGAAGAGTGCGCAGGGCGTGTAGTCGAGATGAATCACCGGAGCCACCTTGATGACGGAAGCCAACGAAGGAAAGCTTCGGTTAGGATCATGGGGCACAAACGCGAGAAAAGAAGAAGAAGAAGAAGAAGTAAGGAAAGAAGAGCGTACCTGCGCGCCAGGGCCGTGCATCTCCAGCGACTGCTGTTCCTTGACCACCTCCGCAAAATACTGAAACACGCGTGCAACGCACAGGTGAGCATTCAGGAGGGCAAACGCAGAGAGAAGGCGAGTCGTAGAGCGGTACCTCAACGATGGCCATGTCGTGCGTCTTGACCTTAGTCTGTCGGAAGAAGTTCAATTTGGCTTGCTCCCTGCAATGCCGCAGGGCGACGAGGCCGGAACAACGGGTCAACGCGCATACAGGGACGGTGGGTCGAGGGAGTGGGTAGCGCACCTGACAGAGCTTGGCACGGTGGGCACGTTGACGGTGGGCAGCTGGCCCTCAGAGTGGTACGTTCGCTGGTACATCGAACCCTTGCCGCTGCCTCCATCACCGATCGATGGCTTGGCATTGGCCCGCGACTGCGGCCCGGGGGCGCCAGCGGCCAGCCGCTCCGGGTTGGCCTGGTAGCCGGGATACCCGCCCAGCGTCGACGTGCGCTTCTGTGTGGCGGGCTCTTGGCCCTCCTCGTCGAGCTGACTCCTTTCGCGACCGCCGTCGTCGCCCATGCCTCCGCCGCTGCTCGCCCCCGAGAGCTTGCTGTTCTCACGTGGGCTCGAATCGCTCCTGCCCTTGCCGCTGACGCCGCTGTTAGCCGACGAGGCAGGGCCGGACACGCTGCCGCTCTTTTCTCGGAGACTCACGGTGACGTCGGCCGAGTAGGTCTGTTGGATGTTGCCCCGCAGGGAGCCGGGTACGGACGACGCCGGCGGGAAGGTGTGGTTGAAGTTGTTGGTCACGCAGCACATCTGGTAGTAGAGACACGCCTGGGTCGCCACCTCGAGCAGCTTGTAGTGAATATAGGCCAGGTGCGTCTTCTCGTCCTACGCCCACATAAACAAGCATCAGTTTGCTTTTTTTAACAAAACAATGTAGGACAAAACAACCAAAAACCAAAAACAAATTAGTGGAATGTCGGCGTACCGGCCAGTGCGTGCGTAGCCCCAGGATCTTCTCCACGAGGGTGCCCTTCGTGTAGGGTGGACAACGCAACTGTGCGTTCTCATAATCAAAGATCGAGACGTAGCGCTATACAAGAGGAACGATCAGATGCGCAGAAATATGTGTGTGTGTGTGTGTGCGTGCGTACCTCAACGGCCTTGGGGATGGTGACTCGCTTGGAGAGGCCAATCAGCTTGAGGTATGCGAGGTCGCTCATGTGGATGGGCTTCGTTCGCCAAGAAGCGATGAGCGCATTGGCGCCTCGTCCGGAGCCAGGCACGAACAACGAGCATGCCGACACCAATTCCTGAAACGCGTGTTGTGCGTGTGTGTGTGTGTGTGTGTGTGTGTGTGTTAGGCACCGAGCCAGACATGCGGACGTGTAGCGAGAGAATTGGGGGGAGGGAACGATTACCCTCACGAGATTTTCATTCTGTGGAGTGCCGTAGATGATCACGGGTCGTCCCTTGAGGAGCGAGTACACCAGGTGTCGCACGAAGTTGTATCGCATGAGCTTGGTCACGCCCATCCCCGCGTTCACCGTTGAACAGTCCCACAGCGTGCTCGCGAACGTTTCCAGGTTCGGCCTGGGCGAGAGACAAGAAGAAGAAATGAGTTGCTTTTGCTGGTGTTTCCACGAGTGCCAACCAACTAAGCTCGCGCGCGCAAACGCGTACTTGTTCTTGGGCGGCTTCTTTCGGTCGGGAGTGGAGCCGGCAAGTGCTGGTGGCGTTCCCCTCTCCGGCGGGCAAACAAGCACGTGTGGCGCAACATTCGTCCCATCCAGTCCTGTGTGTGAGAGAGAGACGAACGAGGCCTTTAGATTATGGCACCAACAACCGCCTCTCTACAGCCGACACACGGCCGCACACACGCACTGGGAAACGGTCGACAGTTACCCATAAGTTTTCGGGTGAGGATGGCTTCGTCGAAAGGTTCGGGAGAGAGCAACGGTTGGTCCGTGGGCGGTGTCAGCTGTGCCGGCGAGTCGTACGACGACGCCCCCGACGAACCATCTGACGTGCTCTCGCCCACGTCTTTCATCTGTGTGTCGTGTCGTGTCGTGTCGTGTCGTGTCGTGTCGTGTCGTGTCGTGTCGTGTCGTGTCGTGTCGTGTCGTGTCGTGTCGTGCTGTGTGTCAATTCATCGTGTCACTCGAGTGCGGGACTCGGGTTGAGGAGGGCACCGTGGGAGAAGAGATGGAACTGCGGCGTGTGACATAGGGCGAAGAAGAGAAGGAGCTCAGCGGCGTGTCGCGCGCAGAACTTCGTTTGTGGGGCGAGCGCATGTAAGCTTCGAGGTTGAAATTGCACACGATGTTGCGTCCGAACGTCAGCAGCGACGATGACGGCTCTGTTAAGAGTTGTGTAAGCCAAGAGCCTGATCCGAAACAGGGCTCGAGCGAAACGGGAGCCAAGACGATGGATCATAACGCACCGGCGTAGCAAAACTCCTCCTCTTCGAGCTCGAGGACGATGCTGGGTCGCGAATAGTGGCAGTGGACCTTGTGAAGCTTTTCGAGGGCTTGCTGGTAGGCCTTGCCGCAGAGCTCGTCCAGCTCGCGCAGCTTGGTCTCGTAACGCCTTCCTTTGTACAGAGTCTTCAACACTTGTGGCTGTCATGCGGCACCCATGCACAAAAGAAACACACGCGCACAGCTGTCAGTCAAAACTTGCACGAAAGCCATCACCGATTGGTGCTGCCTGGTGGGGAGCAGGCGTGCCTTGTAGTCGGTCTCGGGGAGGCGCATGCCCAGCTGCTGGTAGAGGTTGGCCAGCAGATGTTCCTCGGTGCGAAGGTCTTCCTCCTCGTCACTGCTGTTGCACTCCTTCGCGCCATCGAAGGTCTCCTCCCCTTCGGCTGTGCGGCAGAGGAATTAATGGTATGTGAGTATTTGGAGCTGCCAAGCGCACGCTGTGACGAGCGTGGTGCGATCGAGCATGAAAAACGCGGGAAGGCGACTCACCATTCTCTTCGTCGTCATCGCCATTGCGCTCGCCATCAGCTTCTGCTGTAGCCTCGATTGACCCGGATTGTTCATTTACACTCTCATCGCCTGATCGGAGGCAAGGATCAGAGGAGTCATAGCAGAGGAGACGCTAATGGCGCGCTCCGCCTGAGCTCCCCCGGAGACAAAGAGGGCCGGTTGAGTACCTCCGATCGAATACTCGGGCTCCATGAAGATGTCGTCATCGTCATCTTCGTCTTCGGTCTCGAACTGCGAGTACTCCCGCTGCACATTGTCGTCCATGCCACTAAAAGGCAAGAAAGGGAAATGGTCAGCGCGCGCAGGAGATCAAATGGCCGAGTTGATCCAGGGGGTCAACGTACCCGAGCCTGTTCTTCCCGCCTCTCGTGTCACTGTTGTGGCTCTTGAGTATGTTGTGATGGAACCGCCGCCTGATCGACTCCATCTCCTTGATCGTTTCATTTACAATGTTGGGCTGCGCACAGGCGAACGTTGGAGCATCGTAAGTTTGACTACGCAACGCAGCAGCACGCACATGCGAATGTAAAAAGGTGGAACGTACGGTGGGAGGGATGAAGGAGAAGGCGGTCGGGTCTTCAGCGTTGAGGAAGCCGTGCAGCTCTTGGTCTTGATCGGCGTTGCCGCTCTTGTTCAGGGGCGTGTTCATGGGGGTCGTTGCCCCTGTGGCCAGCGCCGTCGTCGACTCGGCCACGCTATCGCCGGCCGTGGCTGAGACCGACGAAGCCAGCGATGACGCCTCCACGGTGGGCTCCAGCCGTGTTGGGGTCGTCGTGACGGCGGGGAAGTCGTCACTCGACGTTGTTGTAGTGGGCGCGGCTGAGCTCGCAGAGTCCGTGGAGGAGAGCAAGAGCTGTTGAGACGAGTTGTTAGAGCTGCGGCTCTTCTTCTGTTGAAGGATCTCCCGTGTGTGGTAGAGATCGGCCAGCCTGTGCTTGAGATCTTCCAAAAACACCAGCTGGTTGCCCGCCTTGAAGATGCGCGAGACCTGGAGGTGCAGGACAGAAGATCAACGTTGTGTTGTAAAGGCCCAACAGAAGGGGAGGCGGGCAGGAGTACCTTGTTGAATTTCTTCATCAACGTAGAAAAGTTGTCCATGATTTTGGTTGGGTGTCGTGTGATGTAGCTCATACAGATGGGCCGCACATAACCTCGTGCAAAGACGTCGAGGAGTGTGAAATGATGCACCTGGGGGCGAAGATTAGGGGATAAGACGAGAGCAAACGAAGGGTGTGACGAAGTCCATCTGGAGGAATGGGAGATTGAGTACGTAGGCGAATGCATTCTCTGTGGGCTCGGTGATCACGACTTGTGTGTCATCGACAAAGGCACCAGGGTCGCAGCTCTTGTTCTGGTAATCGACAGCCATAATGCGAATCACGAATTTCTCGATGTTGAAGGACCCCTTGCCGCTCTCAGGGATGCAGAAGAGGGGCACCGGGCCGACGATCTCTGAGAACTCGGACACGCATATGAAATCATCCGTAAATGAAGGCGCCCCTGGCCCTCCCCCCTCCTCTCGCTTCGACGCGTCCTCGTGATCGCCCATTATCTCTCGCTTTCACACCTCTCTAGAGCACTTACGCGCAGCCCATTCGAATGCGCGCTCACCCGCCTATGCCGTTGCTTTTTGTTGGTTTCGATTATTGCTGAGTCGATTTTCACCCACCCACCTGTTTCTGGACGGAAATGACCGTCGTGCTGTCCTTCTTGTCGACCGCACGCCTCTTGAACAAGAAGAAAGTAGCCCGACGACCTGGACGACAACTACAGGTGCCTGTACCCCAGACCGCCTCCAAGGAAGTAGAGGACTCGACCGGCAACGCCAGGTACTCTAAGGCGTGCGCGCACCAAAAGAGATGCCTCTGTGCAAGGAGGGGCGACGCTGGTAGTCGCTCACCAGCTACTAATCCATCTGCTCGTCTCGGGCATGGAAGGCTTCTCCTCTCTGTACATAGAACCGAGCATAGAACCCAACATGATAGTGAAGAAGAACGTAGTAAATCTCCAGCACACGGGGGTCTTCTTTCTTCTTCTCGTGGCATTGATGCTCATGGTTGGCGGTGCCGCATCTCCATGGTACGCAGCCAGGCCCCTCTCTGTGGTCATGCTCTTCTTAGCTGAGTCGGAGGGATTGCGCGCGTTCCAGGTACCACTTGCCGTTGAGGTCGGGCGGCAGCCTGCAGGAGTATCTCGTGTTCCTCGACGGCCCCAGTTCATGCTACTATTCCGAAGGGGACAGCTGCATGGGCAGCAACCTACGCCACATGTTCTACCTGATACTGTCCACTGTCATTGCCTCCCACGTTCTCGTGGGGCTGCAGCTTGCGTTCGTGGCTATCCACGCGCTGCCCTCGTTCATGGTACGTTCATGTCGAGCAGAGGAGGCAAGTAGAGGAGGGATTGATGCGTATTGCCAGTGCCGAACAAGCTGACTTGAATTGGCGTGCAGACCTCCAAGTGGCGCGAACGCCTGTGGTGGCCCATGATCGTCACCTCTGCATTCGCCACTCTGATGACCACAGCTTCCTGGGTGCTTCTCTATCTCCACCCATCAGCACTTGCTGCTGACTACGGCAACGGGGCGTGCGAGCAAGGGCGAGCTTACTACTGTTTCTTCAATGGTACGTAACTTGACTCTTCATCTGCCCCTCTGGTGCCACTCCTTACTAATGTAATTGCAGGACCAACCTTTGGTCCCAGCATTGGTTGGGCGCTGTTTCTGGTGGCCAGCTTGGTATTGTTTGGAGTAGGGCTGGCCTTGCCCTTCTTTGGGTCCCCGCGACCAGTGAACACCTACCAAACATTAAACTGAACAGAGGCATGTTTAAGTGATGTCCTTGTAAAACACTTGGACTCTGGAACTCGACCCTGCCGTCTTCCTTTGACAGTTTAGAGAAAGCAAGCGGTCCGTTCCACTATGAAGGGGTGGTGTACTGTGTTGGTTTGTCAAGTTCAACAACCGCACCAACTGTGACATACCAAACATTCCACAAGGCAATTAATGTAAATTGTCCAGTTCTTGTTGTCCCGTCGCGAGGCCGCAGAGGGACCAAGAGAGCCACCGGTGTGTGGTGTCCACGGCGCCCAAGAAAACCAGCAGGTCGCCCAGCACGCAGCAAGAAGAAGTGCCAAGAACCGCCAACACACATAACTTGCCACGGGACCCTTGCACCTCGGGTTCGGTCTTCTCTTCGGGTCGTTGTTGGCGAAGAGGTTTGGTTCAAGGGAGAGCGAAAGGTGAAGGTGGAAGCAGAAGAAGGAGCAAGAAGAGAAGAGAAAGATGGGAGAGGTTGCTGGCCATGACATCGTGTACAATACGACGATGGTGTGGAACGAGTTCCGAGCCATCGCGGATCTGCTCCGCGCCCATGTGGGGAAGGTGGCCGACCAGGGCCTCACCCTCAACGCCATCACGAGAGCCACCCAGGTTTGTCCCCTGCCCCCCCCCGGGTTCTCTCTTCGATTCATTCCAAAATCTTCGCTTTGGTTATTTGCCCCGTGGTGAAAATGGCCCTTGGCCTATACTTCCTCTCCTCACTCTTCATTTGGCTTCTGAATTGGATTGAAATGGCGAGTGATTTATACGATTTGTCAAAATTCATGATTTTAGTTGACTACCCTTTTATTGCCTCGGTCTCTCCTTCATCTTCCAACTGCTCGTCAAGCCCTCGCAAACAACTGAACCCCCCTTCTCTTCCTTTGTCCCCGACCACTACAGGTGTCGAGGTACGTGGTCCAGTCGGTCCAGACTTCGACGAAGACTGGCATTGCCTACCTGCGTGACTACTCCCAAGGTGCTTCACGCCGCCCACCGCCTTCACTCTTTGCTCTCTCTTTCTCGTCGCTTTCGCTCTTTGTTCCTTGCTTTTCGCTTTCGTTCTTCGTTCTTCGTTTTCGCTCTTTGCGGCACGATCGTTGACCAACTGTGCGGCATCACGCAGAGCTCCAAGTGAATGCGCTGGACGTTCTCAAGGCCGTGAAGGACTTCATCAAAGAGGGCGTCTTTCTCGGCGAGCCCACCATCAAGAGTGCGCCGCTCTTCTCCTTTCTCTCCCTTTCATTCTTCAGTGTCGCAGCTGGTCTGACCAACCATGCGCACGAATCGTGCAGGCCTGGAAAGCCTGCTGATGGACAAAATCTACCCCGTGGTGACTAAGCTCATCGCCGCGGCCAAGAACATACAGCAGCAGGCCGCCGCGCAGTCGAAACCCTCGGCCGGCGTCGCGCCGGCCACGCCCAACCTGCGCTCGGCCTACTACTCGTCGGGCTACAACCCCGTATCACACTCTGTCTCGTCCCCCGGCGGCTCCCCCGCCGCGTCGTCGCCTCCCAACTCTGCGCGCTCGCCGCCGCCTCCGCTCACTCCCCCGCCGGTCTTGTCGCCTCCGCCGGTCCTCTCGCCTCCACCGACTTCCGGCGGCGGTGACGCCGCACCGCCGCCTCTGCCTCAGCGGGACGACACCTACCACTCGCTGCGCACCTCGGCCTCGCACACGCGCACCCAGCCGCCCCAGCAGCTGCCGCCCAACTCGCTGGGCTCGTCGGCTTCGGGGAGCCGCTCGCGGTTCAACCCGTCGGGCATGGCGCCGCCGCCCGCACTCGCGCCGCCGCCCGCACTCACACCTCCGCCGGCCCTCAGCGCCCCGCCGCTCGCCGCCCCGCCGCTCGCGACCCTGCCCAGCGTCCACCGCCCCTACAGCTCGGCCTACAACATTTCACCCGTGCCATCGCCCAACTCGGGCGGCGGCAGCAGCAGCGGCTTATCGTCGAGCAGCTCCTACACGCGCGGCATGCCGTCGCCCAAGGGCAACGTACACAGCAACAGCTCAGGCACCATTCCCTCGCTCGGCTCGAGCAACTCGCGCACAGCGTCGCCGCGGCTGCCGCCACCACCCGCGCTGCCCACGAGTCTCCCGCCCGGCGCACTGCCGCCCATGCCCACCGACCTGCCGCCGCTGCCGCCGCCGGCCGACCTGCCCCCACCGCCGCCCCCGCCGTCGGGCGACCTCCTCCCCCCGCCGCCGGCCATGCTGGGCGACGAGATCCGGAACCAGGCGCGGCTCGTCGTGCAACAGGTCATGCAGCTCAACCAGATCATCCACGAGCAGAACGAAGAGGTAACTCACCTCCACTCCAATCACAGTCTTTCTCGCAGATCCAACTGAACTCTGCTCTGTGTGTCGCGTGTTGCGTGCGGTGTGTGCGCTTTTCAGGCGTTCGTGGAAGAGGCGCGAAGGACGCTCAATCAGTTGAACGCCCTCATCGCGCGAGCCAAGGACTTTGGGCTGGTGCAGGAGGAGAACGAACTGCGCGATGCCACCTACGAGTTCATCTCCGCTGCCAAGGAGCGGATCGGCGGCGGGTCCTCCGAGCAGGAGTTCGACCAGGCCGTCGCCTTCCTGGCCGACACCATTCGCCTCTTCGTCGAGGCCGTCGCCATGGCCGTCCTGCCCCCGCCACCCCCGCCCAGGGAGGACTTCGCCAAAGGTTCGTGTCGTGTGTCGTGTGTCGAAGAGAATCGTTGCTAAAGGGGTGGGCGATGGTGGAGCAGAGGCCGAAGACACGGGCGCGGAGGGCGAGGCCAAGAGGAAGCGGCTGCGGAGCAACGTGCTCAAGGAGCTGCTCAACACGGAGACCACCTACTTCACACAGCTCAAGACGCTCGACTTCTCCTTCATCCAGCTCCTCAAGAACCGGAAGGACCTCAGGGTACACGCACGCACCCTCCAGCTGAGCTTCTCGCACACCTTCTCTCTGACATGACACCACATCGCGATCGCGCAGACCATGAACGATCCGGTGTTTGCAAGCTTCGTGCTGTGCGTGCCGCCGATCGTTTCGCTCTCCAAGGAGCTTGTGTACGCGCTCTTTCTCTCTTTCGCCTCTCTTTTCGTTCTTCTCTTCGCTCTTCGCCTTTTTTTGTCCTCGAGCTCGTCGCGCTAATACCTCGATAATTTTTATGTCCGATTCTAATTATGCAGGGGCGAGCTGACCTCGCGAATCAACAAGATGAGCGACAGCGACCAGATTCACGTGGGTGACACCTTCGTTCGATTGGCGCCCGTCTTCAAGATGTACCAAACTTACATTAACAAGTACGCCAGCCTGCCCCTCTCTTGCGCCGCGTGGGCTCAGTGACTGACTTACTCACCCACGCACTCCTCGCCTGAAGCTACGACCAAGCGATGGCTAAGCTGCGACATGGAATCGACACCGAACCCGAATTCGATGCCCTCGTTAAGGTGCGTTTTGTTTTTCGTCACACTTGGCACGACGGCGTCGCACAGGCAACACACATGCAACACGATGCATAGTCTGACGTCCCCAATCACGCGCAGCAATTCTGTCCGCCGGGCGGTCCCGACATCAGCTTCTTCTTCATCCTGCCCATCCAGCGACTTCCTCGCTACGAGGTAGGCGCCCTACAACTCGACGCCAGTGACTACAACGTCATCACTCAACGCGTGTGTGTCATGTCGTGTGTCGTGTGTCGTGCGTAGCTGCTTCTGCGTGAGGTGCTCAAGTTCACGGACAAGGTCAACTCGGCGGACGAGTACAGCAACCTCGGGGCGGCGATCCTGAAGGTCAAGGAGAGCAACGACAGCATCAACGAGAAGAAGCGACAGGACGAAAACATGAAGAAGATCATCGACATCCAGAACGCCATCACCAACGAGAAGCTGGTTCGCCTTCATTCTCTCTCTCTCTTTCTTTCCGTGGCTCACCTGTGTGTCGTGTGTGCAGGCACTGCTCAAGCCCGGGCGCGTGTTCGTTCGTGAGGGCTCCATGGAGGAACCCGACCCGTCCGGCAAGAAGGCAAGCGCACTCCCCAAGAAGAATGTTGGGCTGGTGTATCTTACATTCCTCCTGGCAAATACCTAACATTCCACATTTGGTCGTGTGTTCGCACGCGCACGTGTAGGGCAAGGGCAAGTCGTTCCACTACTTCATGTTCACCGACGTCCTGCTCAAGACGCGGTTCGAGAGGAAGTCCAAGAACTACACCCTGGTCGACACCATCTGGTTCGCCGAGGTGGCCCTGCGCGACGTCAACCTCTCCGCCAAGGGTGCGCATTCCTTTTTTCTTTTTCTCCATCGCTGATCTGGATTCACTCCGAACCCACTCACCCGCGTGTCGTGTGTGTCGTGTGCGGCGTGTGTCGTCATTTACTTTAGATCTTCTGAACTTGTTCGAGCTGGTGAGCGGAAGCGAGAAGTTCACCTTCAACTGCATCACCGAAGACGAAAAGCGATCCTGGATGAAGGACATGCAAGAAGGTACCCCACACGACACGCACGGCGCGCATGACACGCACGACACGACACACGGCACACACGGCACAACACACACACGCCTCCGTGTCACGAGCGCTGACGCCGCTGGTGTTGCGCACTTGCAGCGATCGAGAGGGCGCGCAGCGGTGACGGGTCGCCGGGGGGCAGGGGCATACGTTCGCTGAGGCGGGGCACCAACGGGGAGGACTACGAGGGCGGCTCGCCGAAGCTGGGCAAGAAGAGCGACAAGAAGGAGAAGAAGAGCAAGTCGAAGAGGGAGCGCAGCAGCACAGGCTCCAAACTGCTCAGCTCGCTCAAGGGCTAAGCTACCAGTGTGCGATGACTCTCTCCTGTGTCACCCACTTCATCATCAACTTCTTCCTCTGCAGCACCGTAGTAAAGTAAATAATGAGAATTCAACAATCACCATCACCATCGCCATCGCCATCGCCATCGCCATCGCCATCGCCATCGCCATCGCCATCGCCATCGCCACTGCAATCGACTGCGTTCTCTTCGTTCTTGCGCGCACGTTTTGAATTGGTGCCGACACGCGGGGATTGGCAGGTGTAGAGATAACGACACCCAATAAGTATTGGATAAAAAAAATTGCTGGGGCTCCCAGTCGACCCACGCTTCTTCCTGAGCTCTCTTCTCCCTTCACGCTACCCAGCCCAAGGCGAAGGGGTTATAAAAAATATCACATCTGAAGGTTCAGCATCAATCTGAGCTTTATTCTGATTATTTGAACAAATATTTCTATATTATTAATAGAAAAAATAACATAGAAAAATAGCGAGTTGATAGCGACTCGATTCGAGGGACCGACGAACTGAAAGCTGAAGAGCGAGCAGCGAAAGAGATGGACGAGGAAGGAGATGGAAAAAAGCCTCCGGAGCAGGAAATCAAATCCACTCTGCCCCCAGCTGCTGGGTCGACGAGGAAGAAGCCGCGCGGACCACCAACGGAGGCCGAGCGGCAATTCGCCGCCGCTGCGGTGGAGGTCATGTGCGGTGGCGCCACGCCCGAAGCACAGCACGCTTTCATCCTACTCCATCCGCGTCTCCTGCCCTCCAACCCGCCCTCCTCGGCGCGACGCGCCACCCGCCGTCTCTTCCAGCTCTGGCTTCGCGAGTGCGCCCCCCCCCCCGCTTCGCTTTCGTTCTTTCTTTTGTTTTTAAAATTCATTTTTACAAAACGTACTCTTGATCTCAACCCAACCTGTTGATAAATATATTCCGTGTAAATAATAATATAATAATTTCATTTTCTATTTTTTATAAATAAAAACACAGGCTCACAGCAACACTGAGCGCTCCGGGCCAGCAGCCGTCGGCCGACGACCTCCTCAGGCGCCAAAGGTGTGTAACTAACTTCTTCCTTTTTCTCCCTTGAGCGCGCTTGTCGTACAACTCATCACCCTTTCCCTGACGGCCGCTGCACCGACAGTCTGCTGAGCTTCATCCACGTGTGGGCCAAGCACTTCCACGGCGACCTCTCGCCGTCGCGCTGCTCGGCGGCTATCAAGTTGCTCTCCCTCGTTCTCACTCCGTCATCGCACAACCCTGCCACACCACCCCAATCCCCCTCATCATCATCATCTTCATCATCCACCGATGCCACGTCATCATCGCCGTCATCGCCGTCACCGTCGGCTTCGCCCAAACGCCGGCCTTCGCTCAACGACGAACACCGGCGCATGCTCAACGAGTTCAAGCTCCTGTTCCTCCAGCACAGGGGCGGCGCTGCCAGTCGGACCGACCGGCTGCTGATTGACGCCGCCGCGGCCGCCGCGGCCGCCGAGTCATCGCCGCCGCTCTCGCCCTCGAGCCCCTCGCGCGCGTCCATGTCCCTCACGTCGTCTCCCTCGCTCCACCTGGGCTCCGCGTCGACACCGCTCGCGTCGGCGCCGCTCCTCCACTCCTCAGCCTCCAGCGTGCCAGCGCTCCGGTCGTCCACCAGCCCGCGCGCTCGTCACTCGGTCGCCGTCACCTCCCTCCCCCCTGATGACGGCGGGGCGAATGCTGACGTCAGCCTGACGCGGCCCGTCCAGTCGCGGTCGGCCGAGATGGCGGTTGTGTCCGGTCGAACGAATTCCAAGAATGGTCGGCTGCACACTTCCGACGAAACGAGCCTCGTCAGCGGCTCCAGTGTCGACAAGAACTCGCCGCGGGACTCACCAGCCAGCGGCGGGGAGAGTGTGGTCGAGTCCGATGAGTTGGCGGTGACGGCGAAGGAGAGCGGCCGGCGGCGTGGGCGTGCGTCGATGCACGTACGGTCGGACTCAGTGGGCGCCATCCTGTCGATCCCGCAGCGGCCGGGGCGGCGCACGCCGCGGCTGCGCTTCCTCGACGTGCCGCTCGAACTGCTGGCCGAGGAGATGGCCGCGCACGAGATCAGGCACGTTGTGTGTGTGTGTGTGTGTGTGGCGACACGTCACGGTGTTGTGTCGCCCAGTCTGACATTGATAACTGTGTATGTGCGCTGTGTACGTGTGCTGTGTCGACAGGCTGATGCACGCGGTTGGGCCGAGGGAATTCCTGAACCAGGGCTGGCAGAAGAACGCCGACCTCAACCTGGCGCCCAACATCACGGCCATCATCGACCGCTTCAACCAGGTTTCGTACTGGACCACGACCGAGGTGCTCACCAAGGACACCCCGCAGCTCATGGCCAAGACCATCAAGCGGTACTCCCCAAAGCTCTACGATCTTGGAGCTACACGTGGCAATTCTAACTCCGAAGCGCTGAACAATGTTTGTTTGATTGTTTGTTTGCTTGCTTGTTTGTTTGTGATCACAGCTTCATCAAGCTCGCCTGGATATTCTACGAAATGAACAACTTTAACTCGCTCATGGAAATCGTGAGCGGTCTCAACTCGGCCGCCGTCCAGCGGTAACGCGACATGACACGCACACACGCACACGCACACACGCACACACACGCACGCACGCTCACGCGCACACGCACACGCACACGCACAAACACATACGGCTAATGTTTGTGTGCTGTGAACAGGCTGTCGGTGTGGAAGGAGGTGCCGGAGAAGTACGCTCGACGATTCCGCGAGATGGACGCGCTCATGGAGATGAAGCAGAACTACCGCAGCTACCGCGAGCGCCTCGCCGAATTGCTGCCATTCCTCCTCACCAGCCCCGCCTCCCCCGCCGCCTCCGCCTCGTCCCCCCTCACCTCCCTCCATTCCTCGCATTCCCTTCCGACTTCGCTTTCGCTCTCCATCGCCGCCGTCTCCGCCTCGGCCTCGGGTGCGGCCGCAAGCGCCCAGCAGCCGCCCGCCTCGCCATCGTCGTCGGCGTCGAGCAAGAAGGCGGGCAAGGTGGTCCCCTATTTCGCGGTGTTCCTGCGTGACGTCACGTTCGCGATGGTGGGCAACCCGCTCTACCTGCCGCCGGCCCAGAAGCCGCCGACGACGAAGGCAAAGCCGACGACGGCCTCGCCCGCCCGCCCGCGCCGCAGGCTCAGCGAATCCGACGCCGAGAATGCCAAGAATGTCGAAGAGAACGAAAACAAGAACGAGAACGAAAGCGAAGACGAAGAGGGGGAGGAGGAGATGCAACGGGGCAGGGAGACGCCGATCGAGGGCGGAGCCATCAACATGGACCGGGTGCAGCTCATGTACGACCAGGTGCAGACCTTCCAGCTCCTGCGGCACGAGATGCGCGGCTACGAATTCCTCGAACGGCAGAAGCGTGAGAAGGAGGACAAGGAGTTCCTCCGGCGGCTCATCCGCGAATACCAGGCCGATCTCCGCGCCATCACCAATGCCGGTAACTCCCTCCCCTCCCTCCACGCGTGCGGTATGCGCGTGTGCTGTGTGTGCGGTATGCGCGTGTGCTGTGTGTGCGGTATGCGCGTGTGCTGTGTGTGCGGTATGCGTGTGCGCTGACACTATGGAGACGCCGTAGATTTGCTGTACGACCTCTCGTTGGCCGCTGAGGGGAACGCGCTCCCGGCCAACGCGCTGTCAACGTCGCCAGGCCCGCGCTCGCCGGCGCGTCAATCGGTCATGGCCCCGGCGGCCCCGCCGCCACCGCCCTCGTCGCGTAACTCGCTGTCGTCTTCGTCGTCGACCACAGCGACGCGCCAGACGCTGCCGTCGCTCGTGTCGGCATTCGGCTCGATTGCGTCGTCGTCGTCGGCCGTCGTCTCGCGCGACTCGTCGCGCACCCACCGGCTCTCCGTGTCGAATTCCCTGTCGCCGCCGCTCTCGCCCGCGTCGTCGTCGCCCATCGCCTCGGCCGCGGCCGCATTCTCGCGCAGCTCGAGCGGCAGCATCCGCCTGCGCAGCGCCTCCGACGACGCCGGTATGGCGGCGTCCGGGTCGTCTGTCGACGTCGACACCGGCGACGACACCGAAGACGACGATGTCGACCTCGACTACGGCGACGTCGAGCCCGAAGCGGCGGCCAAGCAGCGCCAGTCCCCCAAGCCCACCACCCGGCGCAAGAGTCGGCTGCGGCGCAAGGACGTGCAGTCGATGCGGCGCGTCGCCAGCTCGCCGGACAACAACAATGGCGGCGGCGATGAGGCGACGACGACCAAGGCGGCGGCGAAGAGGCCGACGGCCAGCAGCAGCAGCCGCAGCGCGTTCGGCCTGCGACGCAGCAGCGAGCCGTCGGCGGCCGAGGCCGAGCTCTCGTCAACATCGTCGTCGTCCGATTCGTCACCCTCGACCACCGCCAACGGCGACCTCTTCACCTCGTCGTCGACCCTCAGCCTCGCTCACCTCCTCCACGCATCGTCGTCTTCGTCGTCGCCGTCATCGTCATCAACATTGTCGACCTCACCCCCTTCATCGTCGTCATTGTCGACGAGCAAGGGCAGTCGACGCGAGTTCACGTTCCACAAGGGCAAGGCCAACATCAGCGACGGCGACCTGGTGAGTAAGGTGGCGGTTGAGGTGCGCAGCTTCGTGGGAAACGTGAGCCGGCCGCTGCTCCTCACCTTCCGCGACACGTTCGACGACTTCCTGGGCAAGGCCGGCCTGCGCCACGAGAACTCGCCCGTCGTCTCGTTCCTTTACGAGGCCCCGCGCTCGAGCCCCCCTAGCGGCGAGTCGACCACCACGCCCACGCCTGCTGCAGCTACGACGGCGGTGGTAAAGGGCGAGAAGCTGGTGGTGGAGGACGACGAGGGGTTCGACGCCTTCAAGCGCTGGGCGCTCCGGCAGAGCGAGCGGGCCACCATTGACGTCTGGCTCTTTGTCGGGGTCTACTGAGTGTGTGGCAGCCCACAGCAACATCATCCAACACATCAACGAAGACGACCACAACCAGCCCAAGAACTCACACAAACAATGTAATTGTATTAACAGCCATGTATCGTTCTGAAAAAAGAGAGAAGAACGAAAAGAGGGAAGAAGGATATCGCCCCTTGGAAGCAAGAGCGACCAGCTGCGATGGTTTTGTATTTAAAATGAAAAAAACCGTTCTTCTCTTCTTCGAGAAGGGTACCGAAAGTTTGCAGGTGCGGTGGTGTGGTGGTGGTGGGCGTTGGCCCAGTGTCCTTTGTGTGTGTGGGTCGGCGATCGTTAGTTCCGCTGAAAAATGCACTCTGCAAAGTTGCGAAGAAACAAGGGGTACCTTCCCTGGCAGCAAGGAAGTTCGCCAAATGGCACGCAGGTCGAACTACATTCATCTAGTTTGGTTTCAGAGAGAGGAAGAGGTTAGGAGGTTGAGCCGAGATGCACGACTGGTCAACGTACGTTGGTCGGGCACATGGCATTCTCGAACGACTCTTGCAATGTTGCAGTCTTGGCAGCAATCACAATGGACAGGAACCACAGTCGTCCCGTAGAGCTTGGGGGGGGGGGCGAGTCAAAAGTTGAATCTCCAGAAGAGGTGGTGAGGGAAGTACTCTGAAGCATGATCCCTTCAACCTCACAGGTCTCGCCCTGTCCGATCACGCCGTCACCACACACGACAGGCGGTACGGTCGTACAATCGGTCGTCCCACATGTCGCACAGCCGTTCCCCGCTTTGACGATGTGGCCCAGCGTACCCTAGTAGTAATTTTTGATGATGACAAACAGAACGCAATCAAACATTTAGTTCTCCATCACCTACAATTGGTCAGGTTTTGTTGCGTGTGAAGGTGTGGAAAGGGGGGGAATGACCTGGATGGGT